CTTTTGTTTTCTAGCCTGGCCCAGTTAGAAACCAATTTTGACTTGCAACTCACTGTACACACACTAAAAAACAATTCCCCTATGTGAAATATGTCATTGTTTTTTTGATGTTATTCCCAACCACTAAATTAATTTCACTATTAAAGTAGTCCTTATATGTCCACAGAGAATATGCTCCAAGACTCCCAGAGGGTGTCCAAACCGCAGACAGCACAGAACTCTCTATATAAGATGATTTCCCTATACATACACACTTATGGTAGTTTAACTGTAAGAAATAAAGTGCAATTGAAACAAGAAAGTGCAATTCTAACATTATGCTGCTATATATTATATGAGAGTGGTCAGTCTCAAATCAGTTGACCCATATATATATATACACAGACATATAAATGTGTATATACATATATATATGTGTATATGGTTGACCCTAATATATATGTATGCATATATATGTGTGTGTGTGTGTGTGTGTGTATATATATATATATATATATATATATATATATATATGTGTGTATGTATATGGTTGAGCATGGCCCCTAGAACCACACATTCCCCTTCTCTCAACCCCTTGGCCATGGACCTTGTTAGAAATGGCTCAGGATGTGGGGCTGGGAAGGTGGCTCAGTGGTAGAGCGCTTGCCTTGTATGCATGAGGCCCTGGGTTCGATTCCTCAGCACCGCATAAGCAAAAAAAAAGCCGGAAGTGGCGCTGTGGCTCAAGTGGTAGAGAGCTAGCCTTGAGCTGAAGAGCTGAGGGACAGTGCCCAGGCCCAGAGTTCAGGCCCCACGACCGGACCAAAAAAAAGAAAAAAAAAAAGCAAGAAATGGCTCAGGATGTTAGGATGTTTCATAGGAATAAACTATCTTGAAAGGAACTCAGCAAGACAAGGTTTACTTTTACATAGGGTGCACCACCAGCCAAAAATCTAGCAAGCTGCTCTCTTTTTATCCTTAACACAGCAGGCCCTGCTTCTCTGCTCCAATTGGCTAAGTTCATGTTTACAATCTGCTCACAATTGGCTAGTTTGAAGAGAGTGGAATGTATTTACATAAAGTAACCATTGAAAGACTTTGAGATAAAATTACACCCTCTGCTACTTTAATATGGGGTGTGTCTTAAATCCTCTTATTTCTGGTACAGCCAATTAAAACTAAAACCTTATTCTGAAGCATTTCCTCTTTACCTTTCTACACTTGCTCATATTGTCTTAGCAGAATAATCAACAATAGCCAAGCCACTAGGCCAAAGCAGGAACTTTTAAGCAGCCTACTTTGATAGAAAAGTTGATTTTTCTCACCTCACTGCTCTAGGACCTTGTGTGTCATACTTTTTAATATTCAGTGCCAAGTTCCATTTCTACCCTCCCAACCCTTCCAGCTCAGCCTCCATTTCTCCCTTTTGTCTTAGGCTGGCCAGGCTTGCCCACTGGCAACTGGCAACTACCCCCATCTCTATTCAGTTTCTGATGACTCTTGGCTGAATTTCCACTAACAGTCCTCTGGTATGTATGGATTGGATTTGATGTTTGGTGTCCCAAGTTTTTATGTAATTACAAAAATGGATACTATATTATCACAGAAAAAAAATGTGGATACAACCCAAACCCCAGCTCTTCCCCTCACCATTTACCAAATGTATAACTTTGAAGATGTTATTTATTTAGTGTTACTTGCCTTGCAAGCTTGTGAAGGATAATCTTTATGAAATGCTTGCCTGCCATAGACAAGCATTCTTTACATACTAATTAAATTTGGGGGATGAGTCCACACCAACCAGTCTGGAATGAGTCTAGAGTTTATGCTTAATCATGCAACCTATGTTCCCATCTCCCTTATCCCCCACTTTTTCTCTTATATGTATACTCTATTTCATTCACCTTGGTTGGACCATTCCCTGCATCACATGATTCCTCTATATCTCAGTTCCTGGTAAGAATTGTGATACTTGATGGAGATGGACATGGTCACAGAGGTCAATTCTGAAATTTAGCTCCATAGATGGATCACAGATAGAGGCAAACTTAAGAATTCCTCCCCATCAAGCCTGCCACTCAAGCAGATGACAGGCTTGGGCTGGGAAGGTGGCTTAGTGGTAGAGTGCTTGCCTAGTATATATGAAGCCCTGGTTTCGAAACAGAAAAGGCTGGAAGTGGCTCAGGTGGTAGAGTGCTAGCCTTGAGCAAAAAGCAGCTCAGAGACAGTGCCCAGTCCCTGAGTTCAGGCCCCAGGACTGGCAAAAAAAAAATGACAGGCTTCACATATAAAAACCAAAAATGAGCCGGGCGCTGGTGGCTCACGCCTGTAATCCTAGCTACTCAGGAGGCTGAGATCTGAGGATCACGGTTCAAAGCCAGCCCAGGCAGGAGAGACCGTGAGACTCCTATCTCCAATAAACCACCAGAAAACCGGAAGTGGCGCTGTAGCTCAAGTGGTAGAGCACTCGCCTTGAGCTGAAGAGCTGAGGGACAGCGCCTAGGCCCAGAGTTCAAGCCCCACGACCGACAAAAAAAAACCTCATTTATCCCATCCTGCAAGGAAGGACTGAAGAGGAGCCAGGTGTGCACCCTGAGAGTCCACACTATACCAGGCTCTGCACAGAGATAACCACATGACCAATATTTCAGCCTGGTTTCATGAGCCATTTCCCATCTCACCAGTTCTATATTCATTAATCCAGTTACAACTCACCTAGCTAAACTTTTTGTCTTATCCTTTTACTTGGGCTACTCTCTCTTTGGCCTAAGATGTCCTCCCACCTATGTTTAGCCTTTGTTTTTGGTTTAATGTTCATAGATTACCCTCTTTAATCCCCTCATACTTAAAATCCCCTCCTGTCTAACCAACTGATTTCCTCATTATTATAAGGATCTATCTCCTACCCTTCAATCCCAAATCTGGTATCCTCTAGTCCCATGGATGAGATTAGAAAATGTAGCAGCCTTGGCTATAACTGGCTGGGTAACAGGTTTATAGTCTAGAACCACAGGGGCAAAATACTTGGGGCATGAACCCTTACTTTTTTCCTGCTTTTCCCAATAATCCTAGTAAATTGTGTCTGCTTGGATATCATGTATGATTGTGCGAGAAGTAGTGATTAATTTACTTGAAATCAGTACCTTCTATCTTCAGAGAATAATAATTAACAGCATAATATTTAGAAGCCTGAATTTTTGAAGCCAAATCTGTCTAAATCCTGCCTTAGCAATTTACTGTATTTTGAACTGTGTGTGTCTATGTGGAGGTTTAATATAAAATATATTAAGATTGTTGATCTTGTCAAGATGAAAATATCAGATTTATGGGGCTGGGACTGTAGCTCAGTGGTAGAGTATTTATCTAGCATGCATGAAGCCCTGGGTTTGATTCCTCAATACCACATGAACAGAAAAAGCCAGAAGTGGCGCTGTGACTCAATTGGTAGAGTATTAGCCTTGAGCAAAAGAAGCTCAGGGACAGTGCCCACACTCTGAGTTCAAGCCCCAGGATTGGCAACAAGAAAAAAGAAACTATCAGATTTATTCACTCAGTTGTGGATACTAATCCCTGTGTCTCCAGCTGTTTGTATTCATGACTCCCTTTGAGCATCCATTCAGCTAGGCCAGTGTGGCCTAGCCTTGTACTAGACCACAGAGACACAGGAAAAGAAATCCTTGACTCTACCTATAAGGGTAGATAAATCTCTCCTCTGTGATTTGGGCCTTATTTTATATCCCAGATGGGGATTAAGGCCTGCTTAAATTTGTTCACAGATGAGGTCCCCACCTAAATGGAAATTCTATCCTGAACCATGCCTAGATTTCAACTAACTTATGATGGAGGCTCTGTCCTTAACCAAACTGTAGGCCCCTCTGAGTCCTGCTTTTGAATAGGGCTGAACTTTAGACCTGTTCTGTCTTAGACCTTCCTATAGTCTCCCAACTTTGATACCTGATCATTCTTGGTAGCTTATGAAGTTCCTCACTTTTCAAAATTAGCATAAAAACCCTTGGCCTTCACAATAATCTTGTTAGGACAGCTTAGCAAGAATCACCTTATCCTTGAATTTCCCTCAGTAATTTTTTTTTTTTTTTCCAGTCGTAGGGCCTGAACTCTGGGCCTGGACTCTGTCCCTCAGCTCTTCAGCTCAAGGCTAGCACTCTACCACTTGAGCCACAGCGCCACTTCCGGCTTTTTTCTTTTTGCTTATGTGGTGCTGAGGAATCGAACCCAGGGCCTCATGCATACAAGGCAAGTGCTCTATCACTGAGCCACCTTCCCAGCACCCCCTTCCCCCTCAGTAATTTTCTATCCACTGACCTCATCCTTCCTCTTGGTTATAAACCTCTTCTTGTCTTAGATTTTCAGAAGTTAGGCTGTTTTATCTCCACCATTGTCCTCTATTACAATAGTCTTGAATAAAGTCTTTCTTCCTATTTTAACAAGCATCAGAGAAAATCTGAACTATTGTCATGACCTTGGGAATACAGTTGTATTCTTCTTTCTCAATAATGCTTCATTCCCTCCTTGTTCTATGCTAGGAATCAGGCTCTCTTCTAGGCTTTTGATCTCTTCCTCAACAGCCCCTAGTGGGCAACAGTACCTAAAACTATAAGCCTGAGAGAATGTGCCAATTCTCTTCTAACCAACTTCACCTATTCAGTAAGTGAGATAATCCAAATGTGAATACATTGAAATTGTTTCTCAACATAAATACATTTTCAAAGAGCTTCCTTATTTGTATTATAGACATAAAATATGTACACTCAGGGCTCTTTTGAGTGAAAAAACAACCATAATGGATACAGATCTTCAGTGTTCCAAATGATGCCATAAATAAATTTTCTGGCTTTTTGGTAAATAAAGAAATGTGTCAAATTTTATCTCCTGAGTTCCAAGTATGTTTTTGTTTGCTGCTGTTAGAAAGGCTTTATTGTAAAAGTCGCCTCACCTAGGACTCTGATGATTTTTCATGTTTTATTAATCTCTTTCATTGGGCTTCAAGTAAAGAAAGAATGACAATATTCAAAATTTACTGAATTTTGTATTAATGTCAGGCATAGAATTTTCCTCTTGAGCATCTCCCTTCATGGGGGCTGATACTGAGTTGTTTTGTAGGAAATGACGTGTCAACCATTCATTGGTTCTCATGGCTTTGCAGTGAAGGCAGGGCTTTTCCCTTATTTGGTAACTTCCCAGATTCCTTGGCCTCTGAGCTGTTTTTCTTCTTTTAATACTGGCTGGTGAAGGGTGGTGTTCACTTTCACTCTCCTTCCACGAGGAGGCCCCTGAATAAGATTCTTCACTGTCACATTCAGTAGTATCACTGTCATGTTGGATCTGATTCACTTGGTGGAACTGAGCATGGCGCTTGGCTCTTCTTTGTTCAAGATAGGCACTTACCAAGGCCACTTCTGAGTCAGTTACAGGGGAAAGTTGGCTCTGCTTTGATTTCTTCATCATTTGTGAAGAATCCCAGAAATCATCTTTATTTTGCCTCTTATAGGAAGATTCTTTGCTTGCTAACCAACAAAACAAATCAATAAGTTAGGCATATTATTGGTTATTATAACTTCACATTATACAGGGAGACCTACAGCATATGTGAGATCACTGTGGAGTGGCCAGTTGTCAAGTCACTGTGTTTCTCCAATGGTTTACAAATACTGGCAACTGATTGCATTTTACCATCTCCTAATGACCAAGGAGGTCACATAGATGCTTAACATAGATATTACTTTTGAAGTTTTATAGACTCTAGAAAGGAAAAGATCTGCAGGGCTAGGAAGGTGGCTCAGTGGTAGAGTGCTTGCCTTACATGCATAAGGCCCTGGATTGGATTCTTCAGCACCACATAAACAGAAAAGGCTGGAAATGGCACTGGTGCTCAAGTGGTAGAGCACTCACCTTGAGCTGAAGAGCTCAAGGACAGTGCCCAGGCCTAGAGTTCAAGCCCCACCACTGATTTAAAAAAAAAGGGAAAGGTCTCCAAACTTTTCCAAAGATACTTAAGTCTTTTGTCCTGATGTTTCAGAAATTCAAGGGTATATCTGAATATAATTTGAGTAGCAAGAACCATAATGGATCCTTTAATGGTGTGTTGGCTTATACCAATTAACAAAAGCCACTACATTTTCAAGAATTGTAAGATGGTTAGACATTTTTGTCATTACTAAAAATTACCCAAACTTACAATTAAGTCAATCTACTTTAAAAGGTAATAATTACCCATTACTTTCTCATTATCATTTATAGTTTATTAAACTGTATGATCTTGAAGCTGTGTATGTCTGTTATATATGGATTTTGGAAATACTCTGCAAGGAAGTACTATTGCACATCTCACCCCAACTCCATGCTCAGTGACAGCCTGTGGGTAGTTTGAAACTAGTTTGGGTAAGAGTATCCATAGCATGAAAATGAGCAAACTCTAGAAAGCAAGGCTTGACATATGGTTTTGCTGACTGTCTAAGCTTAACAAAGTAATAGAGAACATCTTAATAATGCAGACAGTATCATGCCTACAACCACTACATCGTAAATAGTGCCCTGAAATGAAGAAGTATTCTCTTTTCCAATATTCTATAACTATTGTCCAAAAAGGCAAAAAAGGCAGTCACATCACTGACAACCAAGTTAAGTTCCAAAATATATCATTTGTTGTTTTTTTTCATCTTGTTAACTCTGAGTGAAATACTATTCATTCTGCCGGGCGCCGGTGGCTCACGCCTGTAAGCCTAGCTACTCAGGAGGCTGAGATTTGAGGATCGAGGTTCAAAGCCAGCCTGGGCAGGAAAGTTCATGAGACTCTTATCTCCAATAAACCCCTAAAAAACCGGAAGTGGTGCTGTGACTCAAGTGGTAGAGTGCTCGCCTTGAGCTGAAGAGCACAAGGACAGTGCCCAAGCCCAGAGTTCAAGCCCCATGACCGACAAAATAATAATAATATTCATTCTGAAACTATACTTTTTCATCATTTGTACCATGGGATGGCTCATTGATGCAAGGACCTAGCAAAAACCAAGGAGAGCATTTCATGTGAATTAGATGTCTATACAAAATTTACCGTAGAATTTGATATATTTTCTTATTTATAAGTTGTATAGTATGCATCCTATATATCAGAAAAATTAGTGAATATATGCATGCATACAAATATGCTCATTTTGGAAAGCCATTCAACAATATACCACTCCTTCTAGTTATTGAAAAAGAAATCAACTGCAGTTCATTTTCCTATCATAGCACTAGCAATGAAAATACAGGAAGGTACACAAGGTCTGTGAAAGGAAAGTGCTGAGGAATGACAAGAGCCTGAACTCTACCTACCAGTAGTTCACAGCTTCTGATGGTTCTGATAAAGCAGCTAAGTTGCCCTTCTGCACTAGGAAGAAAAGCAAGGAGTTCACCCAGTGAAGGCTGGAGAGGCCTTACAATGCCCTTTGCTTTCCACACTTAGACATAATTCTCTCATCATATCCACAATAAAGTATGTACTGGCTCTCACCTTTACTTAGTGAAGCACTTGTTCCACTATCTTCATCCTTTTTATTCTCAGACATCTGTTTCAGAAATATCAATAATTAAAGATGATTTCAGTTAGTTGTTTTTCCCTAGTATTTACTTAAGAAGCACTATGGCTTGAGGCCCTTTAATAATAATTAATGTTAAACATTCAGCACAGTTAAATAAGTACTTATTGTGATCTTGTTGCTATAATCCTACTTTTGCTGCCAGGTCAGAAGGCTTTGATAGCAGATCTACCAAAATGTTTTAAAACAAGTAAAATGGAACAGAGAGATTGGAAATAATATCAAAGAGCTATATAGGTTGTAAGGTTGTCCTTTACCTACTTATTTTACAGAGAAATTTTAAGAACAAATTTGATAATACTTAATTTTTTAAGCCAGGAGTGATAGTTTATGCCTATAAACCCAGCACCCAGAAGTCTGAAGCAGGAGGCCTGAGAGTTCAAAGCCAGTCTGTAATAGTTGGTGGTAATATGGGTTGAACTCTGGACCTTTGTACTTGCCAGGAATGTGCTCTAGCACTTGAGCCATGCCTCCAACTGCTATTTTCCTTGGTGGTTTTTGAGATAAGGTCTTGCTTTATGCCTATGTCAGCCTGGGCTATAATTCTCCTACTTGTGCTTGCCAGGGTCTGGGGATGACAGGCATGTATATAACTACACCCAGCCTGTGTCTTCTGTAGCTGGGATAACAGGCCTCCACCACTACACCCAGCCACTGGTCAAGCTGGAGTTTCTCAAGCGTTTACGCTTAGGCTGGCCTCAAATGGTGATGCCCAGATCACTGCCTTCCAAGGAGCTAAGATTATAGGCTTGAGCCAGTATGCCAAGGAAGTTCTTTAAATGTCTAATATGAGACACAATATAACAAGATTCTTTACTTGAATTTGTGGACTTAATATTTCCTTAATCTTTCACAGAGTTTTCTCTAAAACACGATCATAATATATTATGTGTGCATATGGCAGTCAGAAGAAATGAATTTCTTCAAATAGTACCAATTCTAAATATTCTGCCCCAATACTTCACAAATATATTTGCCCCATTTTTCACATTAGTGTCTCACTTTCTGAGGCCAAAAATGATTTTGCCAGATGATGCAAGTATAAAGCAACTATTTCAGAATGAACCAAATATTAAGAACTATTCATTACACCTTGGGATTTTTTTGTTTTGTTTTTGAGACCAAAGTGTCTCTATGTTGCCTAGGCTCACTCTCAGCCCTCCTGAGTGCTGGGATTATAGTACTGTGCCATCAGACCTGTTCACATATTGATATAGAATTCTTTCCTAGAGACTCTATCACCAGGAAATAACTCCCCAAAGAAAAAAACTGTTCACAGAAATATTCACCACACACTATTGATATAATATAAACTTCAAAATTCAAAAGTAGACAATGGTTAATTAAATTATGAGAGAATCATATAAAATATATTGTAAAATCATGATTAAAGTATGGCATAGCACAAGGAAATATATTACAATTTTGGCAAAAAGGATACAAATCCATGTGTAATGGGCAATTACAAGTTAGATGACATGAAAAGAAAAAAGGCTTATAGGAATATTTACATAAATGGTAGTAATAGTAGGCTTCAAGTGGTGAAATGGGTATTTTTCCTTCTATTTTTTCAAATTGTCTCATCTAGGGAAAAAATTGAAGTCAAACTACATTTGGGTTGAAAAGTGCCACACTTAGATATTTGTAACTGCAATTAAGGGATGTTTATAACTGCAATTAAGATCTCCTTCCCTTTAAAAAAAATTATCTCTAACAAGGCAATTTGTTGGCTTTCTGGGTTACAATAATTCTGTGAAAATCTTGAAAGAAAAATCCTTTTTAAGATAGCTTTAAAATAATACTTTGGTACTCCATAAATATTTTGAACTTAATATATAGAGACAATTATTTAAAATATTATGAGATCTAAATATTATAAACCTAAAAATTAATAGTAGTTGGCTATATTGACATAGCTAGAGTGATCTGTATTTCCCTTGTTTGGTTTGGTTTGTTTTTTTTTTGTCAGTCATGGGGCTTGAACTCTGGGCCTGGGTGCTGTCCCTCAGCTCTCCAGATCAAGGCTAGTGCTCTACCACTTGAGCCACAGCACCACTTCTGGTTTTCTGTTGGTTTATTGGAGATAAGAGTCTCATGGACTTTCCTGCCAGGGCTGGCTTTGAACCACAATCCTCAGATCTTAGCCTCCCGAGTAGCTAGGATTCAGGAGTGAGCTACCAGCACAGGGCTTTCACTTTTTTGTCTGCTTTGCTATAGCTCCTCATTTTATATGTGTACAGTGGAAGGGAAGGGTGTTTAAAAACACATTATATTTACATCATTTCCATAGAAAGTGTTCACATTTCATGGCAAATCAAAATATAGCCACAAAATCAAAAGAAAGAGTCTGCATCAAGCTAATTGGAATCATATGAACTGTGGTTATGAAAAGCATTTTATTAACTGTCTTTGTCTGTGACTTAGTGAGTGAAAACAGCAGGGTGCCTGCCCTGAGGGGAGGGGAGAAATGTGGGTGATGTTCTGTCTTTCTGCCACTCATCAACTTTGTGATCTTACCAACCCATTTAACAAGGTCTCCTAAGCTCAGTTTCCACATACACAAAATAATTTGAAACTAACACTGGCCAGAAAAATACCAGGACTAGCAATCTGAATAAACACTGAACAAATATATAAACTAAACAATATTTGGCCTCTGAAGGCATCTGAACGAGTAGCAAATCCAGAGGAAATCCAGCAAGAGTCATGTTGGGGGATAATTACCACCACATTGCCATCACGCTTTTGCCATGACTTCAAGCTTTGTAAATGAAGGCCCATAGTTTAGCAAAGAAAATGAGGAAGTTCAAAGTGAAGGGAAAAATTCCATCCTCTCTAACTAGCTCTCATATGGTTCTCAGATTTCAAATCTGGGACCCTTCAGAAGAAGCAGTCCAGCCAATTGGAGCTGCCACAAGGGTACAAAGGGAAAGATGAAACCTCTAAGATAATTAAGGTTTTAATCAGCACTGAGTAGATTTAATTCAACAGTTTAAACTATGCTTTGAAGTAAACAAATAATATGACAGGAAATCTGGGTCTTTTCTGGTTCTATCACTCTGTCACTAACCACTTATATGACATTGGACAAGTCACTTAATTTCCTTGAGCGCTGGCAATTAAAAAAATATATAGCAGGGTGGGTATCTTACTTGTCTACCAACAGGAGGCTGAACCACATCACATGTTTTCATGAGGTCCTTGATTTTCCAGGCTCTATGAATCCAAAGAGCCAATACAAGGGAGCAGAGGAATAGCTTAGACCTCTTAAGTGATCTTGATGAAATTGCCAATGATCAATTTCAATTTTTTGTTAATTTTCTAAAGTAGCTTTTCTTGCCAGACCAAATTTAATATACTTAGCTAGCTAATCTATCACTACTTTAATTCCCCTTTTGGCAATGTATTTACTTTAAGAAGCAGTTAGAGTTTAGAGGAAACTTCTTGGCCAGGAGGTGGTAAGGGGGAAGAATCTTTGATTATTATAATGGAATCCAGCTGGCTCTTTAACCAGAGCTGATAGAGCATTCCATCTAGCTGACCATGGCCCAGGCAGGACCGTGGCTGTAGTTTAAATCTTGGTGGCTTGATGAATCATTAGCCTCATACTAATAGCCAGTAAAAATTCAACATCGCAACTTAGAAGAGCTTGGTTGCTCATATGTTCAAGCACCACACAAATAAGGTGAGCTAAACCATTCCTATGAAAAGGACATTTTCTTCTAATAGTTACCCAAAATGCTGACTTTAGTTCTGTTGAGTTTCATTTTGCATCTAGTCTATTCAGAAATACATTATTCTATTGTCTCATTCTAAAATACCATAAATCCTACAGCATGTATCCTATGAATGTGAGAAACTTTTATAACTTTGATTAGAAGTACATGGCTATGAGAGGAATTTGGAAGTCATTAACCAGTAGGAAAACTTATTTCAGCATTACATAGCATATGGTCAAATTGCAAACAATCTAAATGTCTCAAAATTACAGAACTTTTATGGCGCAACCACAAGACAGAAAGTGCAATCAAAAGTGCTACTGAATGAATATAACTATTTACAATATATTATGTTTAAAAGGCAGGATATGAAAACACATACAATATAATGCCAACTGTGTAAGAGCAAAGAGAGAGAAATACTAGGACAAAAAGAGAAAAATAACCTAGGATGGTCTCAGAAATGTTATCTCTGTGAAATAAGATTAGACTTAAATATTCTTTATCCTTTTTGATATTTTTGGATTCTCTGGAATGAAATGGCATTATTCTCATAACTGAAAAACTTTTATAACAGTACTTTTCATGAGAGTAAATTTATGAAAAAGTTCCCTAATATAACACTAAAGATATTATTTAAAATGAAAAAGGATATCCTACCCAGACAGAAAACCGAGAGAAGATCATCAAAACCATTATAATGACAAAATACCAAAGCAGGAAGCTCCCTATCGTCCCACAAGAGTCATCCTTCTGGCATTCATGATCCTGATTTGGAATGGAAAAACTTAAAGGTATGGGAGGAGGATCTACCTCCCAAAATAAAGAAAAAAGGTCTCCCATGGTGGCTTCTTGCTTAGAAAGTAAAACATGCTCAAATGGATGGAGGTGACCTATGACCCATGACAACTTCCCTGGCAACCTATTATGACATACATAAGTAACTATTACAGAACTAGATGTTTCTTAACTTTCTAAGATTTTATAAGGTTTATCCAAATTACTTGGACAAAAGTTTATGGTTCTTCTCCTCTGCCCATCCCCTAAAAAAAACTCAATAGACTTCTCTCTGTCTTAATCTTTTCTACCCTGAAATTTGTATATATTGTATTATATCTTTAAATCTAATTAAATCATTTTAATTAGCCTTTATGTATCACGCCATTGTAGATAAACATACATAAGTCTAATGTGTTACATACTGAATTGTACTCCTCAAAATTCAAATGCTGAAGTCCTCATCAACTTGGCTATAATTTGGAGGTAGGGCCTTCAAAGAGGTCATGAAAGTTCAAGTCATAAAAATGAAGTTCTAATCCATGTAACTGGTGTCCTCATAAGAAGAGGAAAAGAGGCTTAGTGCTGGTGACACACCTATAATCCTAGCTACCCAGGAGGTTGAGATCTGAGGACTGTATGCAAAGCCAACCTGAGCAGAAAAGTCCATGAGACTCATCTCCAATTAGCCATCAAAAAGCTGGAATTGGAGTTGTGGCTCAAATGGTAAAGCATCAGCTTGGAGTAAAAATGCTCAGGGACAGTGCCCATGCCCTGAGTTCAAGTTCAAGCCCAGTACTGGCACACATACAAAAATAAAATAAAATATTTAAAAGAGAAGGGAGGAAGAAAAAGGAGGAGGAGGAGGAGGAAGAGAAGGAGGAAGAGGAGAGGAGAAAGAGGAAGACCAAGAGGGAGAAGGAGAAGAAGAAGAAAGAAAAAGAGGAGGAGGAGGAGGAAGAGAAGGAGGAAGAGGAGAGGAGAAAGAGGAAGACCAAGAGGGAGAAGGAGAAGAAGAAGAAAGAAAAAGAGGAGGAGGAGGAGGAAGAGAAAGAGGAAGAGGAGGAAGAAGAAGAGGCTGGGAAGGTTGTTCAGTGGTAGAATGCTTGCCTTGCATTCATGAGTCCCTGTGCTCGATTCCTCAGCACTACATAGGCAGAAAAAGCTAGAAGTGGTGCTGTGGCTCAAGTGGTAGAGCGCTAGCCTTGAGCTGAAGAGCTGAGGGACAGTGCTCAGGCCCGAAGTTCAGGACAAAAGAAAAAAGAGGAGGAGAAGGATAGCGGGAAGCTACAGAAGACAAGATGAGGTTCTCTGAACACCAAGGGGACAAGTCTCAGGAAAATGAACTTTGACACCTTAGTGTTGAGCTTCTAGTCTTTTTTTTTTTTTTTTGTCAGTCGTGGGGCTTGAACTCTGGGCCTGGGCGCTGTCCCTCAGCTCTTCAGCTCAAGGCAAGCGCTCTACCACTTGAGCTACAGCGCCACTTCCGTTTTTTTAGTGGTTTATTGGGGATAGGAGTCCCACAGTCTCTCCTGCCCGGGCTGGCTTTGAACCGCGATCCTCAGATCTCAGCCTCCTGAGTAGCTAGGATTACAGGCGTGAGCCACCAGCGTCCGGCTGTGATTTTTTTTTTAAAGGGAGAGGATACAACAAATCAGTTTCGATATTTTATGGTAGTCCTAATGCATAAAATTTAGATGGTAGTGTACTTTTTAAAATCTTGGATGCATAACAGCTTTTAGATCAAGAGTAAGAAATAGCCAGGTGCGGGTGGCTCACAACTGTAATCCTAGCTTCTCAAGAGGCTGAGAGCTGAGGATCACGGTTCAAAGCCAACCAGGGCGGGTAAGTCTGTGAGACTCTTATCTCCAATAAATCACCAGAAAACCAGTGGTGCTGTGACTCAAATGGTAGAGTGCTAGTCTTGAGCTGAAGAGCTGAGGGACAGTGCCCAGGTCCAGAGTTCAAGCCCCACAACCAAAAAAACAAAACTCTAGCTTTACAACTAGAGCTAAACATTATTGTTAAGGCAATCTAAAAATGATTTTTTTAAGACTCACTTAAAATCAGCTAGGTAGTAGAGCATAGGGCAGCTTATGCCTATAATTCTAGCTATTCAGGAGGTTAAGATCTGAAGAGCATAGTTTGAAGCCAGCTTAGGAAGGTCTTTAATGGTTATCTCCAATTAACCATCAAAAAGCTGGAAGTGAACTGTGGTTGAAGTGGTAGAGTGCTAGTCTTTTTGTTTGTTTTGTTTTGTTTTGTTTTTTGTTTTTGGGGTCCGGTCGTGGGGCCTAAACTCTGAGTCTGGGTGCTGTCCCTCAGCTCTTCAGCTCAAGGCTAGCGCTCTACCACTTGAGCCACAGCGCCACTTTCGGCTTTTTTCTTTTTGCTTATGTGGTGCTGAGGAATCGAACCCAGGGCCTCAAGCAGGCAAGGCAAGTGCTTTACCACTGAGCCACCTTCCCAGCCCTAGAATGCTAGTCTTGAGCAAAAAAAGCTCAGGGACAACACCCAGGTTCTGAGTTCAAACTACACACAGACAGACAGACAGACAGACACACACACACACACACACACATACAGGCACAATGGCTAAATCTTTTTTTTTTTCTTTTTAATCCGTGTGGGGCTTGAACTCTGGGCCAATGTGCTGTCCCTCAGCTCTTCGGCTCAATGCTAACGCTCTACCACTTGAGCCACAGATGCCACTTCCGGTTTTCTGGTGGTTTACTGGGGATAAGAGTCTCATGGACTTTCCTGCCCCGGCTGGCTTTGAACGGTGATCCTCAGATCTCAGCCTCTTGAGTAGCTAGGATTACAGGAGTGAGCCACCAGCGCCCGCCTACAGCTAAGTCTTTAAAAGCATAGAATGCCTACTAATTTTCATATGCAATACCACAAATAAACTTCATTTTCTTCCATTTAACCTTGGAATCATTTTAGGAAAAATTTTAGTCAGTGTATGTATATGAACTATCCACTAGCTTATTGTGACATGACTTATTCATGTTTTTGTTTTTAAGGGCACACTTATTTGTATGCAGAATGAGTGCAGTGGGTCAAGATTCAGACCTGGTTTTACTACTCCCAAGAAGGTATGAGCCACCTCCAGTAGCTTTGTGCCCACCTTATTTGCCCCTCCTTGTCACTTTGGCATCCACACAGGCTGATCTCCCAGGACCACAACTCTAGTTTTTCATCTTAACTCCTGGCTCAATGGCACCCCATAGGTGTTTGTCTTTGTTAAATAAAACCAAAGTCAGACAGGCTGCTGGCAGCTCACGCCTGTAATCGCTACTCAGAAGGCTGAGAGCTGAGGATCACAGTTGGAAGCCAGCCAGGGCAGGAAGGCCTGTAAGACTCTTATCTCCAAATAAACCAGTCAGAAAAGGCCGGAAGTGGTGCGCTGTGGTTCAGGTGGTAGAATGCTAGCCTTAAGCAAAAAAAAAAAAAACAGCTCAGGGACGGTGCCCAGGCCAAGGTACAAACCTCAGAATAGGCCAAAAAAAAAAACAAACAAGCAGGCCCACTACTCCCTTTTTCACAGAATTGGAAAATTTCGCCAAGATTTCGCGTGGGGGGGTTAAAATCTCAAACCCCCAAATTAGATATTGAGCTCTGTCGTTACTGTTGCACCTTACTGGACGTAGACATTTAACAACTTGCTCTGGACAGAACCAACGGAGGAAAATACATGTTAGCAAGGGGGAAAGAAATGCTTTGTCCTGGCTGATGGGATCTGAGCACACCACGCAAGCTGTACCCCACAAACGTGAGTGCATTAGAGACTCTAAAGGAAGGTTGAACGCTATGAATATGTGCAAAATGCAACTTTGTCACCGTCATTACTTCTCTCACTGCGGGTTCAGAACGTGGTCTGAATTTTGCTGTTCAGCTTTCACTCCACAGCAGACCGAGCGGGAGCCACAGAGCCGAGGGCGTTTCCTTGGTAACGATCGCAGCCTGGTCTCTCAGCCCTCCTCCCCTCCCCGTTCTCGCGAGAAAAGACAGGCCGGTTCTTCCGGTAACTGTACACCCCTTTAGCGCTTAGCTTTGCGCATGTGCAATAGAGAGTGGCGCGAGCCCGCGGTTTCCGGCTGGAGAACATGGTGCGTTTGGGGGGGGGTTGTTTCTTCCTGGACGTGGAGTCTACCTGGACTTTTGAGTTTCGCGCTTACTGATCTGCCCGAGGTTCAGCCAGAGGAGAACGTGGCTAGGCGTCCTACCACTCGCAGTGGGAAGGAGGAAGGGAGCAGTGGGGGTGACAAAATTCGTGCCGAGGGGAGGATGGCGGGAAGAGGCCTACTCAGCTCGGTGGGCCAAGACCCCCTAAATATTTGGCGGGAACCGATCTTCCACTTGTCAGTAATCGCAGTGTCTGCTGAGTTTAGCAAACATTCCAGTGTGCCAGAACTGTGAGTGCACGCTTTCCACGCCTCCTACATAAATCTTTACCCACCACGGGGACCCTTGGCTTCAAACAGCTCAGGTGCAAGGTTGTTTAGGGTGTGACACTTGTAAGGGCTTCTGCTTAGGGATGAAGAGTCGGAAGGAATTACAAGACACAGGATATTTCCTTCCAAAACTTGGTATTTGGAGTTGTTTCTTTTTTAAACCTCGGTCCTTGTAACATAATCTGAAAACAAAACGTGAAGTATCTACACATAATAACCAACACTTAAATTACAACGTAAGACACCTTCATTTATTAGATGTATTGTTCTCTGAAATAACCAGTTAGGGCTTGAATTCTCTATAGTGCCAAAGGAAGTAAGAGTTTAGAGTTCCCTTTCATATACTGATGTTCAAATGGGGGGTCAGAGGGAATGGTGAGACCTTTTAAAGGCAAGGGAACATGTGTGCAGTTTTTACTTGATATAGGACGCAATTTTTTTTTATTAGAAGTAGTTTTGGTTAATTCCTGTGGTTTTTTTTGCATTTGAATAGATGCAAGGAGAGGGGAGCCCTAGTGCTTCCCTTATTGACAGGACCATCAAGATGAGAAAAGAAACTGAAGCTAGGAAAGTGGTTTTGGCATGGGGACTCCTAAATGTATCTGTGGCTGGAATGATATACACTGAAATGTAAGTTAATCGGCTGAAAAAAAAAGTGAAATACAGACAGCCAGTGGCTGGTTCTGTAGCATTTTGTGTTCACTTTGATTTTTTGGTGGGTTTTAGATCTTTTAAAAAAAGTTTATTAAAAAAAGCCTTTCTAAATTTTTCAGGACTGGAAAGTTGATTAGTTCATATTATAATTTGACATACTGGCCCCTGTGGTATATTGGTAAGTATTTTTCACTGTAATTTAGATTTACTGCCAATGAGAAAGTTGCTTGCAGGTTTAGTGCAGCACAGTATTCGATCCTTCAGTCAGCATTAAGTGCTTACTGTGGTCTTTGAACTGGGAATAGGGAGAGAACAAGGTAAAACTCTAGAATATTCAAGTAGAGGAGACAGACAATATACTATCAATTATGAGTCTCTTGAAAATAAGGTTTGGAGGTGATAAGATTGTTAGTTGTTACTCTCCTGAAATGCCCTCTATATTTAGAACCAGTTCAGATTTCTACTCCATGGATGCCTTCCTCAGTTTCCTCATTTCCTTCCTCTTCTGCCTGCTATTCTAGCACTTTGGTATAAAGAGTTCTTATGGATGTTAAAATAACGTGTGTATGTACATGTTAGCCTAAACTATCATGTTAGTGTGGCAAGTAAAAGAGCAAAGAATTTGGAATCTGCAGGCCCGAGAGCCATTGCTTATTAACAGGCTGGGTACTCTTGTAAAACTCACTTGGCTTCTAACCATGCCTGTTAATTTATTATTGAAATAAATATAAAAATATTTCTTATACAAGAAATACTAAGGAATAGTCACAGCTTAAAACTCACTAGTAAATGTAATCCATCTCATAGACATTCTTTAAATGATAGCTGTTCTGAGGACTAAGATGGTAATTTTCAATTTTTGTTAATTGCCTGAAGTATGAAAAGTTGCCTCCTTGTTTGCTACCTCTCACCCTCCCATCTACCCCCATCCTCCACCCCAGATGTACACACATACATCAGGTGATCTAACCTAGGACCTTTACCCTCTTTAAAAACAAGTTGTTCTCTTCCAGAGCTTGCCCTTGCATCTCTCTTCAGCCTTAATGCCTTATTTGATTTTTGGAGATACTTCAAATATACTGTAGCACCAACAAGTCTGGTTGTTAGTCCTGGACAGCAAACACTTTTAGGATTAAAAACAACTGGTAAGTACTTTATGTTTCTTGCAATGGTGGGAATTAATCTTAAACTTAATTTTCCCTTTTTATAGACTTAAGAATTGAAAGAGACTCTTAAGGCCATCTGGTTCAAGTGTATTAAGCAGAACTATAGCAAATTGTCTTAAAACTAGTGATTATCATTGCCACTGTAAAATTTAGTGGAACTAACATTCAACAACCTCATGGAAGTATGTTTTTTTTTTTTTTTGTCGGTCGTGGGGCTTGAACTTGGCCTGGGCGCTGTCCCTCAGCTCTTCAGCTCAAGGCGAGCGCTCTACCACTTGAGCTACAGCGCCACTTCCTCATGGAAGTATGTTGTTGAATAAAATTAAATAACTTGGTACATTGAAGTCAATTTCTTGTTTTCAATTCTGTGGAAATGGGAAAAATAACTGATTTGTGTCTTTTAGTAATAATACATCATGTAATTGAATAACCTAGTCTTTCTGTTATTTTTTTTCCTAAAGAAAAAAGACAAAGTTCCTTAAATTGGTTTTATAAAAATTTTATTTACACTGGGGTGCCTGAGGCAGGAGGATCTCCAAGTTTTGGCTACCAGGGCTACTTAGTAAATTCTCTGTCTCAAAATACAAAGCAAACAACACTAAACATTTGCATTATATGGATGTGTATATATTCACACATGTGTGTATACATATGTGTGTGTACGCATAAGTATATAATTTTTTTTCTTTTTTTCTAGTTGTACAGACCACTCCTTCACATGATCTGGCAGTCCCTCAAATTCCTCCCTCTCCACCCTCTCCTTCAATTCAGGGTCAGAGTGTGTTGAGTTACAGCCCATCTCGCTCACCCAGTACCAGTCCCAAGTTCACCACCAGCTGTATGACTGGATACAGCCCTCAGCTGCAAGGTCTGTCCTCAGGTGGCAGTGGTTCTTACAGTCCTGGAGTAACTTACTCACCAGTCACTGGTTATAATAAGGTAATGACTTTTCTCTCTTGGCCAGTCACATTATTTTGGTATTCGGATATATCTTGAAAACCATCAATTCAGTGAAAACTTATTATTAATTGATGAAGATACTGAGGAATAGTATGTCATTTAAGAACCCAAGAATAGAGCCAAAGTTCTTAGTACCTTGTCAAACCTTCTGTAAACAGTATCTTAAAATGACAGAGGAAAAAAAATTAACATATACAAAGATAATGAAGTGTGAAGCTAGCCTTGAGCTCAGAGACAGCGCCTAGGACTGGCATACACACACACAAAAAGAATTTGGGCAGATAATAGAATTTAGAAAATGTTATAGTAGTATTATGAGAAATTATACAGTGATAATAGTGATAATTCATAGCCAACAGGTAAATAATGACTTTTTAAAATAATTTTGTTTTCACAAGGAAAGTACTATATAATCATTAGAGAAAATTAGGAAAATAAAATGGGAAGAAAATAACTCATAGTCCTTATACCTCCAAATAATCTATTTAATAGCTATACTATTCCTCTAATATCCATAGTTTACTCATGAATATGTAAACTATTTTCATTTAAGAAAAGACATTAGAAATAGCTCTGTATATCAAGTTTCTGATAAATTTGGAGATTCAGTTGGCTACCTAAATGAACTAAATATATTGGTTCAAATGTATGAGTATTCATTTTACCCATTCTTGGTCATTAAGTTGTTTTGTTTTTTGTTTTGTCAGTCGTGGGGCCTGAACTCTGGGCCTGGGCACCATCCCTCAGCTCTTCAGCTTAAGGCTAGCACTCTGCACTTGAGCCACAGTGCCACTTCTGGCTTTTTCTGCGTATGTGGTGCTGAGGAAGCAAACCCAGGGCCTGATGAGTGCAAGGCAAGCACTCTACCACTGAGCCACCTTCCCAGGCCCTCAAGTTGTTTTTTTATGTCTACAAATAAGAAAAATGAAAATGTTCTCTTTTTTTTTTTTGGTCAGTCCTGGGGCTTGAACTCAGCCTGGGCACTGTCCCTGAGCTTTTTATTCAATGCTAGTGCTCTACCATTTGAGCCACAGTGCAGCTTCTGGCTTTTTCTGTGTATGTGGTACTGAGGAATCAAATCCAGAACTTCATGCATGCTAGGTAAGCACTCTACCACTAAGCCACATTCCCAGCCCTAAGTTCTTTTTTGTAAAGCCACTAAACTAAATCATTTTCCTTCTCTACTTACTTGTCTTTTGGGTCCCTATCCTCTGATTTGTTTTATTTAGATTTCTATTTTAATTTTGTAATTCTTAAAGATATTCATATAGGGATTTAAAATTTTTAATAGATTTGTTTATCTTCTTGAACTTTATTCTTGTTTAAAATTAGAAATTTCAGTTTGAGAATTGATCTTCTTTTTTGGGGGTGGGGGAGTCCGGTCGTGGGGCCTGAACTGTGGGCCTGGGCGCTGTCCCTCAGCTCTTCAGCTCAAGGCTAGCACTTTACCTCTTGAACCACAGCGCCACTTCCGGCTTTTTTCTTTTTGCTTATGTGGTGCTGAGGAATCGAACCCAGGGCTTCAGGCATAAAGGCAAGCGCTCTACCACTGGGCCACCTTCCCAGCCCCCTGATCTTCTTTTATCTTCCGATCGAGTATGATGAAGTTTTTCTTGTTTTTGTTTTTGCTAAAATTAGTAACAGGCTAACCTATGTTAATGTCAAACGTGATTCCTTCTATATATAATTTTATGTATTACTGTATTATGGAGTCAATGGGAGAACTTTGTGTTCCTTCATATGTCAACTCTTTATATAGTAAGTATACTATAGTTTAAGAGAATTGACAGAAAATGTCAAACACAATTGCTTTTTTGCTTCAAAAGTAGGTAAATTGTGGCTTATATGCTAGCTGTACAATAGAGGAGATATCACCAAAATGTCAAGTACCATGTTTATTTTTAAAGAAACTTTTTTCTTGCTTTAGCTCCGTTTTCCTGTCTTGATCTTTTCAGTCATCTTTTCTTCATTTCTCCATTTAAAAATTGGATGGAAAAGCTGATGAATTAAGGTTTTTCACCTTATGAAGCTTTCTTGTTTAAAATCTTAAAAGATGCCTCAAGAACCAGCCACTGGTGGCTCATACCTATAATCCTAGCTACTCAGGTTGCTGAGATCTGAGGATTATGGTTCAAAGCCAGCCCAAGCAATAAAGTTTCTGAAACTCATCCATTTACCAAAAAGCTGGAAGTGAATCTGTGGCTCAAGTGGTAGAGTGTTTAGCCTTGAGCAAACCTCAGAGGCAACACCCAGGCCCTGAGTTGGTACACACACACACACACACACACCAACCTTGAGAAGTTTTACTTACACCGTAGCATGCACATGTTCTCCACATATATTATCACTGTACCCCATGAAAGTGTTACATTTATTACAATTGATGGTAGATCATTTGTCAAACAGAATTTTTTAAATTCCCTGTTCTCCATGTATTCATCCTTCTTCCTTTCCAAATTCCTTACAACCTTCTTTCCTTCCAAATTCCTTACAACCATTGATTGATCTTTTCATTTCCCCCATGATTTTGCCTATTCTAGAATGCCATATAGTTAATGTCATATATATAAGACTTCAACATTAGCTTCTTTCACTTAGCATATGTATTTAAGCTTCCTCCATATGTTTTCTTCCTCCCTTTCTTTTTTTGTCAGTCGTGGGGCCTGAACTCTGGGCCTGGGCGCTGTCCCTCAGCTCTTCAGCTCAAGGCTAGTGTTATGTGGTGCTGAGGAATTGAACCCAGGGCCTCATGCATGCAAGGCAAGCACTCTACCACTGAGCCACCTTCCCAACCCAAAACATTTTTTTTTTTTTCGGTTGATCATGGGGCCTGAACTCTGGGCCTGGGCACTGTCCCTCAGCTCTTCAGCTAAAGGCTACCGTTCTACCACTTGAGCCACAATGCCACTTCCAGCTTTTTCTGCTTATGTGGTGCTGAGGAATCAAACCTCATGAATGCAAGGCAAGCACTTTACCACAGAGCCATCTTCCCAGCCCAGCTCATTTTTTTTTAAAATACGGAATAATGTTCCATTGCTTGGATATACTAGAATTTAGTTACCTGATTGCCTTTTTTTTTTGGGGGGGTCCGGTCGTGGGGCCCGAACTCTGGGCCTGGGCACTGTCCCTCAGCTCTTCAGCTCAAGGCTAGCGCTCTACCACTTGAGCCACAGCGCCACTTCCAGCTTTTTTTGCTTACGTGGTGCTGAGGAATCAAACCCAGGGCCTCGCTCTACCACTGAGCCACCTTCCCAGCCCTAGTGTACATATTTTTATTGTCACCTCATATAATTCTTGACCTGTTTTTATTATTTGAATATCTGTACGTAAGTTTTTATGTTTACAAATAAGCCTTTTAAAACCTATGAGACATATATATAAAATCATTTTATGCAGTTAGAATTAACTCCAAATTTAAGAAGTATAATATAGCTGAGCTAAGAAATCGTAAACCTTTCATCTATAGTAAGATTGAAAGCCTTATAATATGTCTTTTAGTATTTCCTTACAGCCTATACTTTTCCTTAGGAAACAGTGTTAGCAAGTCTTAATCTGTTTGAGGTGGATTTGATTATTACAAAGTCAATTATTTGAAACCAAATTAGGTTATTGAACTGAGTAATGATTTTTCCCCCTCAGGAAGTTTCACAGAAAGCATATTAGATGCAGAAGCGTGGTGAGGAAGCCAAGTTATTGGACCATGGTTCTTTGTGTCGCTTGAAATCTCTCTAGGGATTTTTAATTTAATTCTGCCTAAAAGTGCCACAAATGTCACAGGAACAAATCAATATTATCTTGTTACTTTGGGTACATGCCTTTTTAAAATTTTCAAATATTTCAAGTCTATGAAAATTAGAGAGTATAACACAAGAACACCCCTGTGTGATTTTCAGATGCCCTGTGTTTTTATATTTGCATTGACCAAAAGAAGTTATGTATTAGGTTTGTTGTTGATGTTTGGAACATATTGGTGTTGCTTTTAATTTTCAAGCCTGAAAAGACTTGGTTATCTTTATTTTCCCCTAAGCTAATTGCACAATGTTCAGAGATTCTGATCTATAGCTGCTAATGTGTGTAGTTTTTCTTTTGTATGTGGGGTTGTTTTGTTTTTGGGGGGAGGGAGTTGAAACTTTTAGGCTTGCTGCATGATAAGTTTTTGTAAGTGGCTTTGATATAGTGAAAAGAATACATCATCTCCAAATTTTGGCCTTTAAATTTGTTCATTAATGTTCCTGAATATATTCTTTGTTGTTGCTGTTGTTGTTGTTGTTGTTGTTATTGGTTGTCGGGCTTGAACTTGGCCTGGGCACTGTCCCTGCACTCTTCAGCTCAAGGTGAGCGCTCTCCCACTTGAGCCACAGCGCCACTTCTGGTTTTCTAGTGGTTTATTGTAGATAAGGGTCTCACAGACTTTCCTGCCTAGGCTGGCTTTGAACTGTGATCCTCAGATCTTAGCCTCCTGAGTAGCTAGGATTATGGGCGAGAGCCACCAGTGCCTGGCTCCTGAATATATTCTTTTAAAAAATTGTTTTAATCAGGGCTTTGCACTTGTTTATTTGTTTTTTTGGTCCAGTCATGGGGCCTGAACTCTGGGCCTGGGCGCTGTCCCTCAACTCTTCAGCTCAAGGCTAGCGCTCTACCATTTGAGCCACAGCACCACTTCTGGCTTTTTTCTTTTTGCTTATGTGGTGCTGAGGAATCGAACCCAGGGCCTTATGCATACAAGTCAAGTGCTCTACCACTGAGCCACCTTCCCAGCCTGGCTTTGCACTTGTTAAGCAGGCATGTTGTCACTTGACCAATACCCCCAGCCCTTTATTTTATTTTCATTTGTTTACTTATTTGTTTATTTTTGGCAGTACTTGGATTTAAACTCAAGACTGCGTACTTTACTGGCTGAGACCCTACCACTTGAGACATGCCTCCAATTCCTCATCCTGTACTTTGGCTAGCTGGCTCTGGGGCTGGTATGTTTCTTC